GTGGAATATACTATATACAATACTTAATTTAATGGTTTTGTATATTGACAACTAATTAACAAAAAAATTGTATCTAAGTTTGTGTTTTAAGACACTATCTCATGATACCCAACAGCTCTTTGATACCAGATTTCTGAGCCACAGTGAGACGAGCAGGGAACTTGATGTCAAACTTGATCCTCAAATTCCCTTTCTTTGACGGATCTTTTGGAAGCGGCATGCCTTCACCTGGGACGATATGTTCATAATTTGGTTGAATCACGTTGTTGATTGGAATTGTTAAGTTCCTTCCATCTAGAGTAGTGAGTTGGACAGTAGTACCGGTTAAAGCTTCAGCCAAAGGAATCTTTTGTGTGACAATCAAGTCATTTCCATCACGCGAGAAAACCTTATGAGGTTTCTCATCTATTATGAAGACCAGATCAGCTGGTATAACACCTGGCTGCTCATTTCCTTTTTCTTGGAAGGTGATCTTTGTACCTTTCTTCCACCCAGGTTTAATTTCGATTGTCAGAATCTCTTGCACAATTCTCTTGCCACTCGAATCGGCAATTTCTCTAGAAATTTTCATCTTTTTGGTGGTACCCTTGTAGAGATCCTCAAGATTACAAGGCAAGTTCTGTTGTACCGGAGCCTCTTTCCTTAGGACTGATGAATGCATTGGAACGCCATGGTTAACTTGTTGAACTGTCATAGGGTCGTTTTTTTTCTTTGATCTCAACTCTTCCATGGTTTGTTCTTGTATAAGTTGTTTTGATTTTCCCAAAGACCCTACATTAACCCCAAAATCTTGAGTTAGCCCCATTGAAAAAGATGGTAAAATGTCAACAACATTGACATGCAAAGGACTACCTCTGGTAATCCTCAAAGATGTAGACGATTCGTTCATTGTTTGACGAATTTTAGATTTATCAAGAACAAAAAAACGATTATTTCATCAAAATATATGGAAAAAAAAACAGAACACATATACAATTTTTAGATAAGTTAAAAAAAAAGGTAAACAACTAAAATTAAGGATAACTTACGAAATTGACTTCAACTTAGGGAGGAGACTTCAACTTCAAGAGGGATTACTGAAATTTTGGACAAAAATTCGAAATTCAAATCTGATTATTGGAGTATTAAATGTAGGAGAAGACGTTAAAATGAGGAAAGGAGAGAGAAAATTAATTGTGAATAGGAGAGAGAAAATTAGATTGTGTATAATTATATACAAAATTAGAAAATAAGGTTTTTATACAATTGGTTACATAATAGGTTGTGGATTAATTATAGCAAAATAAAATAAACTATAATTATATAATGTAAATAAATTAAACTATACCCCTAACATATAATTAGTTATGAATGTTTGTCATTTCATATAATTTTCCCAAACTAATAACCTAAAATAAATGGAATAGCTAGGATTTGATTTAATTGTGCTCCATAGCAAACTTTAGCTAAAATTTGCCAGTGTCTCTCCCAGAAATCTCGCTCGCCACTCTCCATTCTCGCTCGCCTCTCTCGCTTTATACACAGAAGTGTATAATTCTGTTTCTGTTTTGTATAAAGCAAGAGAAAATTGT